AACCTGCCCAACTTGTGCCTGCGCAACGTAGCAGATCAGCCGTCACTTCTCCCGAATGCATGAGCACTCAGCCATTCAAAGCACTGTCCAAGAAGAGCAAGAAGTTGACAACCAAGAAGTCTAATCTCCCTACACCACTGGGTGTAAGCCACTTTTTGAACAAGTGTACATCCCAGGGCTCTAAAGTCAAAGGGTGTGCACCACCACTTTCAAACCCAAAACAAACCCACACTGAACATCAGATCCATTCCAGTCTCAAGGTCAACACTGCTGAGCTGTTGTGTGCTGAAGCCATTCTAGACATCTCCAAAACCGTCATGCCCGAGGTGTTTGAGCCTAACTTAAGCATTGCTAACAGAAATTTGCTTCAGACGCCAACATTCCTCACTGTTGCACCATCTGCGGATAAAAGTGATGAAAGCTCTGTTGACAGTGAGGACGGAATTGAACAAGAGATAAGAACATTTTTGGAGCATAAAGCAAAGATGAACAAAGAGCTTCCGACAACAGCAGGTGCACCTTTGCCAGCTTCAGGAGATCCCACAGCAAGAAAAGAACCAAAGAAGAAGATGAAGGAAACCCAGCCGAATAAAGCAGTAAGGCTCTCCCTGTCAAAAAAACGCAAGTTCAAAGAAGAACAAAGCAAACTTTCCAGAGATGGTGAATTAGTTTTGAATGTTAAAGAGGAGCCTCCAGGGACACCTCTGGTTCATAGTTACTCCACCAGACCAGAGCTTTTAACCACTCCCACTGTGACATCACATTCAAGTAGTCTAGCCACCATGAAAAACAGTAAACTGAAGCAGAACTCCCCACCTCGTAAGGGTTCAGATAGTAGTGCACCCAAAGACAAAGGTTCCACTTACAGTATGTCCAGCCCAAAGACTGTGATTGGCTCAGAGAGAAACGACAGCAGTGACAAAAGCAGCTCCCTGGACAGTGATGAGGATCTAGATGCTGCAATTAAAGACTTGCTTAAGACAAAGAAAAAAGTCAAAAAGAAAGTGAGAGACCTGAAGGCAAGAAAAAGTGCCAGACCTTCCGAGGCATCATCTTTGGATGCTGTGAAAATACAGAAACCTTTAACAGACCAGAAGAGTATCCCACCTTCCAAGCTTGTTAAGTCTAGCATCTTGAAAGGTGGCAAAGAGACACTGAATGTTCAGACTAAAAACGACAAGAGTTATAAAAGCAAAGCAGTTAAAGGCAAATCGGAAGTCCAGAACATCAAACAATCTAAAAGCCATGCACAAGCCGACAAGGTGACTGGGAATGGTGGGGTTCCCAAGCCCCAAGATGTGGACATACCTTCTTCCAGTCCGCATGCAGACATACCTTCTTCCAGTCCGCATGCAGATGACGATGACAGTTCTGTGGACAGCGATGATAGCATTGAGCAAGAGATTAGGAGATTTCTAGCTGAAAGAGCCAAGGAGTCTGCACCTCTCGCTGCAAACACCAATCAGGAGGAGGGGGCCATAGACTCCTTGACCTCACCTGTGGAGTGTGATTTTAAACCAGAACCTCAAACGATTCTAATTGAAACTCCAGTTTCTACTTCAGCATTAACCTCTGGTAGACTCTTCAAAAGTGAAACGCAAGCAGAATCCATAGGCATACCTGCAAGATCCACGGATGCACCTGCAGAACTCAACAAGGGGCCAGTCCTGACACCAGGCAGCTCTTGCATTATGAGTTTTAGGAGGACCGAAAGTCAAAAAATTGAGATTTCGACTCAAAGAGATCCAAAGAATGGCAGCTCCCAGACAGGAAAGGACACTTCAACAAGTCATACCATCAAACCCAACTCCTTCACTACGCCAGAGATGCCCCGATTATCGGGTCATCAACACCAGAACCTATTCCTGTTGAGGCCCGTTAACAGCAGTATGAGCGACATCAAGGAACTTTCCTCTGCAGAGAGTAATGACCTTGCCGTCAGCCGCCAGAGTAGATCAGCCACTAGGATACCTTTGAAAGAAGTAATTAGTTCTCTTTGTCCTTCGCCTATCTCGAAACCTCAAATTAGTTCCCCTGCTGTCACCACTGTTGACCTCTCGACCTCGGCGCCCCCTAGGGGCAGGACAGAGAGACTTTACTTGCAAAACCGCTTGAAAATTGACCGACATCTCTCAGATAGACCACACTTATCCCCCGCCACCTCGCACCTGTGCCAGCCCTCACCTGTACTGCAGGCCCACCAGGCCGGCAGTGTAATCCAGTTACAACGGGACCAGGCTGCTTTCCCAACGCCCTTAGCAAAGACAAACCACCTGCAGGTCAGCCAGATTGAGGCAATTGAGTCCACTGCAAGTTTAGGAGAAAGACAAAGGGAGGGAGGAAGTGTTAGCAAGGAAGAGAAAGAACAGGAAGATGAGGAAGAGAAATGTGTTGATGAGACAGATGTAGAGTCAGATGAGGAAAGGAAAGATCAGAAGACAAAAGACAGGAGGAAGCAGCCCCCTAATCAGTGAGTACCTACCTGTTCTCTCCAAACACACACACATATCAGTTGAGGGAACATGGTCGCCAACAGCCCAGTACGTATCCATGCTCTTGTTCCATCTAAGATACGAAAGACTTCTTCATAAAATTGCTGATGTCTTTAATTAGAAAGATTAACGAGTATTTTGGTCATTGGTTCGGGCGGATCTATGGATCCAAATCTGTGATTTGCAGGTATTTTGCAAGATTCCCAACCATACAGCCGAAATTTTTCTTCGGCTTTAAGCATTAGTTGTTTGATTTTAGCATTAGCCTGACGGACTGCAGCGTCTCATCCTGCATTTCAATGTTTCTGTCTTTTTGTACTGTATTATTTAGGTTCCAAGTGACGTCACTTAGGACTCTTTGAGTGTACCACATCCTTTTTTTGTATGTTTGTACATTTATAAATATATTTAAAAGCAGACATGATGTCATGAAGAGAGATTAAACTTTGTTTTTTATTGTTTGTGTTGTATTTTCTCTGCAGCAGCAGCAGCTGCATTTCTGAATGGAACGTTGCTTTTTGAGAAATTCTCATTTGAGACTGCAAAAAGTAATTGCAATTAAAAACCGAGAAAAAAAAGAAGGTTTATGAGTTTACATGTTAAATAGTTCCCAGGTTTAAATATTTACCCTAAGAAAGTCAGTTTTTTTTTTCTGCAAAAAATTCCACAAGTTAAATACCACCATTAAAATTGCGTCTTTAAATTGTATGAAGGACTGTAGAATGTAAAGGCCAAGAGAATGAAAACGCTTTTGTTTGCATCAATGCATATTAAGTTGTTAATCATTCACAATGGTTCAGCATCATCATTTAGACCCTTGATCTCTGAGAAGACGGTCTGAGTCACCTTTCAGTAACGTTAAAATAATCCCTAGGTTTCTAAATGAGGAAAATCTCTTCACTTCAACAGTAAATGACTAAGATGGGCCTCATTTGTGAAACACTAGCAGATTTTTTTTTAAATCTTCAAATTACTAACTTGCCCTCAACAAGCAGATTTTTTTCACGATGTTCCCTTTTAATACATTTTATGTACTTAGTTGGGAATTCTTTATATTCATGTCATAACCAGGATATTTTTTGTACAACTACAACATTCAAAGATTTATATCTGCATATTTCAAGGATGAAACTCTCTCTTTCAGTGTCTCAAAATGCAGTCATCTTTCTCCTGTTGCACATTTTTGCATACTTATCAAATCGCATTTGTCAAGTTACACCAGTCCCCCCTTCTCATCCCTCTCTTTGCACCGGTTTCTTAGTTCCTGTTTCTGTTGCTTATTATATGTGGGTGTTTCCTATGTGAAAAGAATGTTATTTATTTTTGTTTATAGAAGAGAAGAAAGTAAAGACTTATGCTGACTATGCTGGGCATTGCCAGCTTTCATAAATATTTTGCAAAAAATAAAAAAATGATTTTTTTGGTCCCCTGCTCTGCACAGAGAAATGAAACTCAAACTGTATCTCTGAAGATGTATAATAAAAATTGACTTTGAGACACAAGGCTCTATGGTTCTTACACTACGTGTGTGTGTGTGTGTGTGTGTGTGTGTGTGTAAACATGCATGAACGTCTGAATTCCTGTACATGTTCCTAATACGTTTCTTACACCGCTTCCTCTGTGTTGTATCTTAATGTAAATAGCTTCCTTTCTAACAGATGTCTAAATTGATGCTAATGCCAGTCTTTTTTCTTGCATCACATGTAACTGACTGACGAATATTCAAAATATTATTATTATTATTATTATTTTAGTTCTGTCCTTCTGAATGTTAATGTTTTTACTCCAGAGTAATTAAACGCTCATCAGGACACAAAAAGTAATGTCCTGTCGATGTTTCATCACAAAAGAAGATTAGAGGATGTCTTAATGCTGTAATTTAGTACATCAATTATTTCATTAGTTGTTACTGAATATTTTTGCTAATGCCAGTCTTTTTTCTTGCATCACATGTAACTGACTGACGAATATTCAAAATATTATTATTATTATTTTAGTTCTGTCCTTCTGAATGTTAATGTTTTTACTCCAGAGTAATTAAACGCTCATCAGGACACAAAAAGTAATGTCCTGTCGATTTTTCATCACAAAAGAAGATTAGAGGATGTCTTAATGCTGTAATTTAGTACATCAATTATTTAATTAGTTGTTACTGAATATTTTATTACACTGTTGTGTCCACACGCTGTGTTAGTGACTAGTTCAACTGTGTTGGTTGAAGTTGTTGATGCATGATATATCAGACCAATATGATAAGCAGTTGATTTTTGTCTAATTTAAACTGCTTTCTATTCAGTTATGTTTTAAAAATTTTTGATGTTTTGATTTTACTTAAAGCATGTAAAATCCTAAGTTTTTGCATCTAAATTCCCAGTGAACACATCCTAATAAAACACATTATATGTTGTTTTAGACGTGTCTGCCAAATGTATACATGTATTTATAACAACAGCAATTAGATTGGTCTTTGCAGCTCACAGATGCATAGACTGACAGTGTGTATGTATGTGTTAATCTGTTTCTTTTGTTTGCTCCAGGTCTTTGTCCACCTCTATAGATCCAGGGTTGTTGTTAAGTCCATATATCGCCCTGGACACGGAGGAGAGGAGTCTGAAATTCCAAACCAGGCGCCTCCATATTCAAAAGCAGCTAGAGGTATATAAAAAGAATGTATTAAAAATTCATGCATTCACTTGCACACACACACTGATGTAACAGATTTGATCCACTTTGTACATGCAAGTGAATATATAGCCTGCCTGGTGGGTGAGTTTTTTTGGTTGTGTGTGTGTGTTGTAGGGCAGCAAAACAGTCAAACGAAGGCTGCAGTTTGTGGTCAGTTTGATCAGGTAAATATACTAATTCTTACTTTGTATAGAACAACGGCTTAGGTTATAGATGTTCATATAAAACGTGTTTAGACACTTTTTGGTTGTTGAGCATTAGTGGAACTTGTTCATAATGTTTTGTTTTATTACAGATAAACTGAAGCCGCTGGAAAATAGAATGAAAAGGAGGTTCACGTGTTCAGGAGAATATTGTAATATGAAGTATATTTAATAATTAAAATAATTAGTTCTTGTTTTATATTTGTTTTTACTTCTCTTTTGTTTTAGTTTTTTTACTGTTCCAATTACTAATTTTATCGAGCGTTCTTTATTCGTGTTATTTAATTTGTTCATTGTAGTAAAATTATCACCGGATCATTCAATAAAGTTTTGGTTCGTTTAAAATAACCGGGCCATTGTGGTACTTGTAGTTCGTGAGTTGTGTGATGCAACGGTTTTATCAGTCCAAAACACTGTATTACCCACAATCCTGTGCACTCTTCCTAACGCTCATGGGCGGAGCTCGAACGGAAACATGGCAGCGGGCGTCTTAAGCGGAGGTGAAATAAAACGTTTTTATTTAATGTTAATGTACTTCGAGTGTATTTCATTATGTAAACCATATTATAATACCAATTAACAACATTATAATATAACGTCTTGCTTGTGATTTGCAATGACATAAACCATTACATGTGAAATCGAGTTTTTATAAGGACTTTCTGAGCAGTTTTGCAACAGACTTTGGATAAAAATGTATGTACCGTTTAATAAATGAATTGAATATGATTGGTTTCAGTAAGGCAGGTTCTCCGGGGCCCTCGGTTGGTCTCTGCTGTGTTCTCGTGTCACGGACAGACATTGAGCTCCGCATCAGCTGCAGTAAAATCAGCGCCAGACACCGGTGAGAATGTCCGATGTGATGATTAAGTAATTATGACACATGCATACAGAATATATGAAACCCAGCGACCTAGAGATATAGTTTCTGTCGGTTTATAGTCTATTAAATGGATTTTAACTTGGGGCCACAGGGGAGTGTTGAAATGTTTAGAGAAAACGGTAAAAATAAATAAAATTAATTTAAAAATGATACACTGAACAAAATTATAAACGCAAAAATTCAGTTTTTATGACCTCATATTTATATACATACATATTTCTGAATGCTAATGTGTGTTTCTGTCTCTAGCCTGATGAAGCCATATCTGTTTGGTTCTCGTCTGGATATTGACATCATTGATCTGGAGCAGACAGCAGAACACCTGCAGCGGGCGCTGAACTTCACAGCTCACGTGGCGTACCGCAGCGGCATCATCCTGTTCGTCAGCCGCAGGCGTCAGTTCAGTCAGTTGATAGAGACGACGGCGCGAGAGTGCGGCGAATACGCTCACACGCGCTACTGGAAAGGAGGCCTGCTCACCAACGCCCCCATCCAGTACAGCCCCGGCGTCCGGCTGCCTGACCTCATCGTCTTCTTCTCCACGCTCAATAATGTTTTCCAGCAGCACGTCGGCATCCGAGACGCGGCCAAAATGAATATTCCCACAGTCGGGATTGTGGACTCTAATTGTAACCCCAGCCTCATCGCATACCCAGTGCCCGGCAACGATGACACACCTGTTGCCATGGAGATGTACTGCCGGCTGTTTAAAATGACCATTAATAGAGCAAAGGACAAGAGGCGGCA